GAAAGCGTAAATATAATTAATCATATCGGATAAACCGATATGATTGGAGGAGATACATACTGAAATGACACCCAGGTTGGGTCGCTCCATTGTTGAGGTAGAAGTCGACTTGTCCCACAACTCCAAGCCTTCCCTGCCAGCCACCGTTCGTGTGGTAGACGTCCACGAAGTCGGCATCTGAAGGGTCCAGTCTATTTTCAATCCTAGAAGTTGCTGCTGTAAAAAGTGGCAAAGCGGGATCAAGTCCTGAAAAAATAGTTTTATTTAGTCAGATTTGTTCTCATCAGCGAAATCATACTGTTATAACTATAAGTGGATATTCTGACGAGATATAAACATTAGAGGTCTTCACGTAACTTGTGAATGATGTGTTATGATTCTAAAAAGTTTGAATGAATCTTGAGTGAACGACCTGTCGTGCTATTACGCTAAAGTGTTATTAGCTACAATAAGTTGAAACCGAACCTCCGCTTGTGACAAATCGAGCTTCAATTATTGATTTTTAGTTTTTATAAACATATATTTTTTGATTTGATTACTATTCCATTTATGAAGTATGACAACTTAAATTTATAAGGAAACTAAATAAAGGGAAACATTATTCATTTTGAACTTCATTGTGTTTTCCACAACTATGTAAAGAGGTTATTTCTTTTGTACAACGTTTTCCGGATCTTTTCTTGCATTATGTTCCACTTCAAACCAAAGAAGTAAACAAAAGATAAAAACCTTATAATAACCTTCCCTGCACATTTAGAAGATTAAAATCAGCTTTAACAGATCCGAGACCTTATTAAAATCGAATGTGTTAGCGGCCATATTTAACACACTAATCTTAAATAAGTTTCTACACTTTAACACATTAATTAAAGATGTTCACAATACTCTGTACAGGTTCCCCCTTATGTGTTTTTACAGATATGCAAGTAAATTTCCTTAGAATGATTTGAGTTTTTACTACATTGTACATTGTTATCATTGAATACCTGTGATCCTGGGCAGCTTTGGTAGGTGATAACCCACAACACCAGCCACGTGCGCTCCCATACTGAACCCAACGACGTGAGTGAGGTTCTTCCAGTGCTTGCCTCTTCTAGTGTACAACTGTTGGAGGAGTCTCGCAGTGCACCTACCGGCAATCGGGACATTATACGCGGACGTAATGTAGCATCCGTCCAATGCGAGCTTGCCCCAATCAACAGAGATAATATTGTAGTTGCCTTTAGTCAAGTAAGCTGGAGAAGAATGAAATTTAAGTTAGGAAATGGATATACAGGTTGACTGTTGAAATTTATGTATGAAAAGAAGTCAGGATGTCCAATCGAAAAATCAGGTTTATTAAGTTTGCTGAAGTTCCAACCCAATCATGTGGGACATAATCAGAGCAATGGTTTGGAGGTTAGACAAGAACTCAATTTCTGCTCGGGTTGAAACGTCGGAAAACTTAATAAACATGACTTTTTGACGTAGAATCCTGACAATTTTTCATCCTTGTGATATAAATTATTATCTGCAAACTTTCATAGTAATATTTATAATATATGAATTTCTGTACAACAAACCAGTCAGGAGTGCGTGTCCTCCCACATGGTCGAGCTTTCTTCATCCTAAGAAAAATATTGCTTTCCTATTCTTAATAGCAGTGCTAGGGAAAGTATAATCTAAAAAACATTGATTTCTCAGCGAGAACTCTCACAATAGATAGCAACTCTTTTCCCATAATGTACGACGAAGAAGCGACATCAGTTATGTTTTTTCGTAAATCCAATATTTCTAAATAAATCTAAGATTTCTTCCATATTGAACCGAAGTGTCCAAATCTATATTACCAATATTTGCCAAATGGTATGCTTAAATTCTCTATGTATTCTCCCGCACCCGTTAAGCCAGTTGAGTCACAACACGAGGATATTAAAGAAGCCAGCTGCCAGACGAAAGACTGACGAATGGAAACGGGCATTGAAAACCAATAATGAGAAGATGCAGTACTATCAGAAAACATTGGGCTGTACCGTTTGAACACATTCATTTAATGTTCCCACAAATAAATGAACAGATTCCAAAAATATGTAAAGAAATAAGTTATTAAATAAATAAAGTAGTGGGCAAACGGAAAACCTAAAGTAACACCCCACTACTGCCGAAAAAACCCGTATGACAACAATACCTGGAAGAGAGGAAAATATAGTCTTCTACACTTTCTTACTGAACTCTGTGCTCAATCTGTTAAATAAGGGTAAATGTAGCTAACCTTCTTATCGGAGATACCGTAAAATAGGTAACTCTTACAAAAGATAGCGGGACCACTGCTGTTTCAACTATCTAGGAGAGAGATTATAAAGATGTACTGCGCTAAATATGGATTGTGCTAGAGGATTTGGATGATGCCTAGGGTTCTGGTGTAATTTGGAGAATTTTTTTGGGATAAGATCTAGGACAAATTGTATGTTAAGATCATGGTGCAGGGTTTTGTTCGTTGCATATAATGGGCCTTTATTATTTTTGAGTATTGGCAAATTTAGCGGTCTCCCACAGTTTTAGTCCGTAGGTGTAGATGGATTTCAGGATTGTCTCTTAGATTAGTAATTTTTTGTCAATCGGAAGTTCAGATTTTCTAGTCCATAGTCTGAATAGTTGGTCATCTTTTCGGTTGATTTCTTTTTTTTTTTTAGTCTAGCATGTCGGTTCCACGTCAGACTTCTGTCTAAAATGAAGCCAAGATTGTGTCTTAGAAGGAAAGCGGTATGGAGTTGAAGCGAACTGATGGACTTGATCTTCGTCCAAGGGTAAAGGCAGCATTTTTCCATTTAGATACATTTACATTTTATTCACCAACTATTACGTCAATATTCAATTAGGGAGAGGTACCTTTGTAGATTGAAGGATGCTATTTCAGGATCTGAGTTACATAATTGGATGGCGGTGTCGTCGGCAAATATTGCCAGGAAGGTATATTAGGATGAACAGACAGAGGTGCCCAAGAGAGGGTTTCATGTCGCATGTTTCAAAGCAAGGACAAGAGGAAAACTGGAAACAGATTGTACCAAGTCTAATTGTATATGATCTACGATCTTTCAAATTTCACATTCGTTTGTACTGTTATTAGGAAGAGTAAAGAAAAAAATATATTGGAAAGGTGATGGGGAAGGTTCTTGCACCATCGACATTGGGGGAGGGGAGGGTGGAGATCCCCTGTGAACAGAGATATTATCTTTAAAGATAATATACAGGACAGGACCTTGATAATCAAACCGCTACCTTGAGCAACACCTTCCTCATTTGGATAGCAATTGGAAATTTCCGTTCCACAGCGAACTCGAAAAATACGATCAGCTAGGAGCAGAGGACTTGGTATAAAGACTATGACAGTTTGGCTTTTAAAGCAGTCCGGAGTGACATACCCAGTCAAAGGCTTGCTCTATATCCAGAAGTGTGCCCGAGCAGTATAGGGCGAGAAATATCTTACCATTTATTAACTCAGGATTCGGAGCGTAGTTTTTGTGACCAGTCCATCCGTGAATCGACACAATCAAGGGGGCATTCTCGATGAGAGGAATTTGTTCAAGGTTTTCTTCTGTAATTTCGAATCCATCCACATCGGTTTCCCTGTAACAACATATGAAACATTATTATTCCATAAATCTTATATAAGATGTGTATGTAGTAATTTAATGTGTATGTAGTAATTTAATGTGAATTAAGTAATTTAAACGATTTTTAAATTTTATTTTAGTTTATAAACACCTCCGTTTGTTTTTTTTATTTACCAAATGTCTGTTTGTATTTGGGTTAACGGCGTTAGAAAACGTTTAACCCTTAGTTTTATGTTTGCATAGAGCAAGTTTCTGATCCCTTCGCTGAGTACATTGAGGTCTCTGAAAGTCTTCGATATAAGCCAGAAGGGGGCTTACAAAGATGTTTTTTATTTGTTTATTTTTGTCGTCACTAAAGAACTTCAATTAATTTATGTATAACCAACCCAAAACTTCTTATATTATACAAATACTTGAGAAATTCCTTTCATTTAAACAATAGATAGGATATTAAAATAATTTAACCTTGATAAGATATGAACCAAAATATATTAAATAATGTTTTAAGGACATTTAATGGGTTATTTTTAATCATCACATTATATTAAATAGGTTTTTATATTAATTAATATTTTCATGAATATTATTAACATTTATTTATTCTTTAGTTTTTCATATTATTATTATTAGATAACCACTAAGCTTCCGGCAGAAAAATTATTTATTCTGTTTCATTGGCCGTGGGGGGCACGTGAGACCATCCTGGGGCACACCCAGCCTCTATAATGTGGGTATCCTTAATTAAATAATTGATTAAGGAGAAAAACCTGGCGGGTGATCCTGGCCGGATCACCTTTCTGCACAACCTTAGGCCTTGAAATAGTACTTACTGTCCCTAAATAGTACTGAACTCATGACCCTTCATGGGTTATAGTGGTACAGTTTTTTTTTATTAACAGTGTGATACGGGTAATGTTTCACCTGATAATATTATGTCGCATAATCTTAGATTGGAAATTATATTTCGATAATATTATTATTTTGTAATTATAATGAGTAAATATGTAGAGTAGTAATGATACCCTTTTTTCACTTTATTTGATTATTTTCAATTAAATAATATAAAATTAGACATTATAAACTAGAACAACTAAAAGTCATTAGCCTTTCGTCACTCTCCATTACCTTTTATTTGCTACGTCAGTTGGTCCAAATTGCAGCTATCTGCCAAATTTTTATTCAAAATGGGTCTGATATCTAGAGTAAATATTTTTTTAGTTAGAAAGAAAGCTTATATTCATAAGGATGAAACAAAATTGTTAGAAATTACAGTCAAGATATTTTTTTATTAGTTTAGCCAACGTTTCGACCCAAACATGTGGATCATCCTCAGATCTATCGTTTGGAAGTGCAGACAAGTACTAACTGAGATCAGTCGACTACTTACCCATATGTAAGTTTATATTCGTTTTTCGCACCAAAAATTATATACGAATTTTTATAGTAATCAAAAAATTAAAATTTTCATCACGAAATTTTTGCCTACCCTTTGAAATTTCGTAGACAACCACAAAAATCGTAATAACTTTAGAAGGGCTCCACCGATAGCCTCAAAAATTATGGCTCCATGTAATACACGAAATTGTATAAAACCAACCACCGTAAACAAATTAGAACCAGAGATATAAAATAAAAATTATTGATAGTTTTTCTTTATTTATAGTTTTAAAAAGGAATGAAATTTAAAAGTTATTATTGAGGGATTTGAAGAGTGGTGATATCAACGGTTGTAATAACGTTGAATTTGGAGAAAATCCCGTGTAGTTATGAATGCTTTATCGTTCTGAAAAAAAAAAAAAAAAAAAACCTCTATGAAAATCAAGGATTTAATTTGGCAATTTTTTATTTCTATAAAACTAACAACGAATCTAACGTGCTTTCATATAATAAAAATTTTATTTGAAATACATTACTAGAAACGCCGTTTGTTTTTTTTAATTTATGATACATATTGAAAAAGATATATGTATAAATCGATTGATTTATAATAACCTACAAATACGTGCAAAGCTAATGCAAAATTAAATTACATAAATTTTGTTTGAAATTATATAAAATATATTTTTTTTATTTGGGCCTGGAATCTAAGCATTGTTGTTCTGCGTTGAAAAGAGTTATTTAGACGCCCTTGCGCAGTGCCTTCGTGATCTGAAAAGCATAACTAGACGCCTTGACACCATGGCCGATGCAATCAAAACCTTCAACACTAAAATTATTCCGATCTCGTTGTTATTTGCAACGGTAAAATACGATAATTCCTAAAACAATGACTTATTTTTTCCGAAGAGAAACTAAAGATTCTACTATGGCCAACGGAACTCAAGGTGAAATTGAATTGTTTCCTTATTCATAATTTAACTTCAATGAGAGAAAAGTTGAATTTGGATTTGCTATTATGAATTTTCATTTGTGAACGAAATAAATTGATTAAAATATATGAAGTCGATTGTGATAATCCATAATATAGACCCTTTCCCAATTATTAACATTTGTCTTAGTGAATGGTTTTATTTTATCGTAACCTATACCTTTTTTATTTGCGAAAATACTCATAAATGAGATGTTTTTTCAATCTAAATATAGGTAAACTTTGTTAATGTAATAAGATACAAAAACATATTAATACCACTTGCTTCCATTTGAATCATAAGATAATTTGATCACCAAATCGTGAAAAAAAAAGTTAGTCTATATAAATATTGGTTCGTTTGGCGTCACCTCCAACCCCAATATTTTCTTGGTAAAATTTCGCCCCAGGCGCCTAAGATCCACACTACAGCATTGATGTCATATATCATATCGTCGGTGTATTTCAAAACGTCACTAAGTACATCTTTGATGGAGTTAAACTTTTAAGTACGTTTTTGCAAATTTTGCCCATATTGATTGATAAACATTACGCGGACCTTATTATGTATCAAAAATAGTTATAGTAAGTGCGCAAGGTTTTAATTTTTAAAGGAACATTCTCTGAGGTATCTCCTCTCCTTTGGCAAGGGCAATTGGAATAATAAATAGTTATCGGTTATGTTGTATTTTTTTCTTCACATTCGGTTTAAACTAGTTCAGCCTTTTTCTTCTCACATTCGATTTAACCTCGTTTAATCTTTTTGTTCACATACGGTTTAACCTTGCGGTGTTTACAGCTTAAAATGATTTCTTCAAGAAAATAATCCTTCGGTCTCATTATTATGAATCCCCTCTTACCTATACCGTCTCTCAATGAGTTTTTTTAATTTTAGAAAACTCCCATTCTTCAGGACATACAAAAACGTTATTTATTTTTCTAAGTTGTTGTACTTATGAAATTGTTAGCTTGATATTATTTTTTGATATCATTATTCCTCCAATAACTTACGCCAGTCTGCATGCCCTCGGGCGGCATTACTCCAATCTCTGATCCCTAGGATCGTCCGGGCTTCTCTGCTACGCCATCCATCCATCTAAGACGCGATCTTCCTCTACGCCTGGTACTATGAATGGTCACTCATTATTTTTCTGGGGATTTCATCCTCCGACATTCGTGCTACATGGCCAGCCCACCTCAGTCTCCCCAGCCTAACATGGTTCATTATGTCAGATTCACGCAAGGAGGTCATATATTTCTTGATTATCCCTCCTGAGGTATGTTTGACCGACTCTTCTAGATCCATAAACGCACCGCAGAATTTTTCTCTCGAAAGCCAATAAACTTCGTTCATCCATCCGTGATATTACCCATGACTCCGAGCATTACGTCAGGATCGTCCTGATCAACGTCTTATATAGCCGTAATGTTGTTGTCCTTGAGAGATACTTACTCCTTAGATGTCTTCCTAGCCCAAAGTAACATCGGTTAGCAATGATTTTTCTCCTCACAATTTCCTTTGTAAGCAACTGAACAAACGATTTGGACTGTTATTCAGGCTTCTTAGCATACGCTCCAAAGTATCAGTAACTAACAAACTTACTATCTATGAATTAATTATGAAACCTTTATGGATTTACGAGATAGAGCGTTGGGACACTACGAGAAAACCTAATACAGACAAACTTCAAACTTTTCAAAAAGTTGTTACAAAAGGACCAACAATTTTCAGACACTGTAACAGAGTGCTGTAAAAACTTCCACCAGAGATAATATGAATCCATTAGCCCAAACACTTAATTCCACGACGAACCCTTACATCCCACCCCGATGACTTTTAAGGCGGTAGACAAGAGACTTTTAAACTTAATCCTTTCACGCAATACTAACTGTGATAGATTAAATATATATGTTAATAAAATGAAGAAAATGTCCATTAAATTCCGAGAATCGGTCATTAAAAACCCAACATGTCCTGTAAAAAACAAAAACGCCATCTCGTGAATTAATTTTATTAAATATCACAGGAACAGCTATTCGCACGAAGATAATTACCATACACTACTTTTCAGTGCATTTTATCATCTTCCATTTAATTTCTAAGTAGAAGAACATTTATGATGGCAATATTCCATTTTGGTTTCGATGCCCTTATTCGATACATGTTCCGATTTGCTATGGATCTTTATGTTTTAAACATATTTGTTAAAAGTTACCTTGTGCGGAGCCAGAAGGAGATATTCCCATTAGGACAGTCATTGTCCGCGTAAAAGCAGTTCTCTCCGCGAACCTCTACTGACATAATGACAACGAGGATGCCTGCAAAAACGTAAATCTGTTTTAACTTCTTTCTTTCTTGATGACAGAGAAGACAAATGAAAATTCAAGAATCAGGCACAAGTTATGGAGAATGGGATGAACATTGTTGACGTTCGTGAACGACAAAGTAGGTCTATTCCAACAAAAAGTTTAAGTACCAACAAACTATCAGGCGTATGCGCAGTACGATTTCTTGGAGGAAAACAGTTTACTAAAAGCCAAAATTCATATTGGAACAGACTTATTATTAATACTTTTGAACGGAGTCCAAATTGAATGAAACTTTAATTGGGATGCTTCATCGATCAACTTCAAATTGGGTTATCCGGAAATAAATGCTCGTTTATGACTTTAAAATAAAATAAATTATACGGGACTATTTTGATTAATCAAAATACGCTCCATTACTCTCTTTATACAGAATGTCAAATTGTTATTACTAACAAATTCTGAAAATATTTTTTCTAACGAATTTTGTCAATAAAAATTTTATCTTTGAAAAAGTGGCTCAGCTGTCTAAAAAAATGGTAGTCAGTAGGCGAGAGGTACAGAGGGTAGGGTGGAGTAGGATGCATAAATCAGAAAATCAAAATTCAAAGCAATGATGATCGTTTTTTCGATATGTGTGGTATTCTGTACCTCCACTGGGTTCCTGAAGATCAAACTATTAATCAACATTACTACATTCGTTCATGCTGAAAGAGAAACCGACACGCGTCCTGAAAGAGTTGTCAGAAGTAGATTTCCTAAGTGTTTCAGGCAGTCAGAGATTCGTGTGGAATGTTTTAAAGATTGAGGAGGGGTATATATTGATTGTGATAATAAGCAAATATGTATGAAATCAAAATGAAAAATGTCTGTATGAAGCGTTTTATTTGTGACAAAATATGGGATTGTATTTTGGATTGTAAGGATTGGATACGATAGAAATTTATATATGGTTTGGTGGAGCCCCATAGCTCAACTCCGTATGTCCACATAGGTCTTATTATAGTCGTGTAAATGAGCCTTTTATAATTAATTGAAAGTTTAGAGCATTTGTCTAGTAAGTGTTGAAGCAGAAATTTCAAGAATTTTCTTGTCGTTTCAGTCTTGTATGTTGATTCCAAGTAAAACGTTTGTCCAATTGGAATCCTACGTAGCTGATTTGTTTAACAGGAACAAGTGGAATATTATTGAAGGATATTGTAGGACAAGAAGATGCATGTTTACGACGAAGGGTAAAGGTAATTTGATGGGATTTATTTTTATTCTCTAGTTTTGACATTATTCTTCAAGACTTGTGATATGTGATTGGAGGGTTTGAGATACAATTAAAGTCTCAATTTTTTTAAATTAATACAATACCTAAAAATAAATATATATTATCAACAAATCAGTTCAAATAAGTTTTAATGTAATAAGTTGTTTAACATCTAAAAGAAAAGCCACTAAATACGATATTGTCTATACAGAGTGTTTCATTGTTAAATAGCCAAACTGAAAATATGAATTAAGAACCTCAAAAAAAGAAAAAAAATTCCTGTGAAGGAATGTTCGGAAACGCTTGTTTAGGAGATATTCACACATAAAGATTTTCATTGTTATGAATCATTTACTTTATATTAAGTAAATAACACTTATTTATTTGTTCCAATTACTTTATTAATTAAACGTAAACATTGAATTCATATCAAATGTTGTCCGAAGTGATTTCCTTGAGCATTAAGACAGGCTCGACAGCAGCAGTGTCAAAACGGCACTGGATATGTTTTATTGTTTTACAATATCCAGTTATCCTTCTTCGTAAGGAATTAAAGTCATTGACCGGACTTGCATAGACTTTTTGTTTAATGTCATCCCAAACAAAAAAATCCAGTGGTGTCAGGTCTGGAGAGCGTGCAGGCCAAGCCACTGGTCCTGCAGGGCCAATCCATTGATTGGGATAATTAACATTTAGCCATTGACGTGGATCTCTTCCGTAATGTGCAGGACAACTATCTAATTGAAGCCACATGTCCCTTCTCAGTTGTAGTGGAATATGTTCAACTAAATCATAGTAATTATCATAGTAAAATACCATATTAGTATTTTATCTAATCCATCTCCACAAACCGTTTGCGGACGCCCCATCACTTTGATCAACAACATTTAATATGAATGTTAATGTTTATATTTAATTAATAAATTTAAAACAAAAAAATAGGTTTTATTTATTTCATTAAATAATTCATAACAACGAAAATCTTTGAGTGTGAGTATCTCCAAAACAAAGCGTTTGCAGACATACCTTCAGAGGAAATTTTTTTTTCTTGTTTTGAGGTCCTTAGTTCATTTTTGCAGTTTGACCACTTAACCCTAAAACACCCTGTATAATGAAATATTATCAAGTATTGTGTGACATTATGTATAAATATATCATAAAGGTCCATAAAATTAGTTTATTTTAGGAAAAAAGAATAGCATTACACCGATTATGTGAGAAACTTTTTTTTTTCTTTTTTTCAACACAATTTTTCAACACAACAATGTTTGATATTATCTTTGTTTATGTTCATAATTACTGCTATCTCTAAATCAGAACAAGCAGTGTCATTCATTAAATAATATTAGGTTAATTATATGCAATCAAAGTTTATGATAATACATACAGGATATGCTAAAAGTAATCTCCATAAGTATTCCGTCCTAAGAAAATGCCCATTAATGCATCGGTTGAATTGGAGTTACTTACGCCACTGACTAATAGTGAACTAGCCTTAATACACAATTTAATGAAAGAAATCGCTCTAAGGTTGTAATATATTTAACTGTTCAAGAACACCTGTTGTATTGTGTGGGCGATTCATCTCCATACAATGCTAATTAAAAATGATAAGAACAGGTAGTTGTTAGATAATGGCAAACTTTTACGTAATGATTTAACTATCTATAATTCGCTAATTCACTCACTGTATTTACATTTTCTGACTCTACGTTTTTATTTATTCTGATAAGATTCTTAGGTAATGATAGGATTAACTTTTTTTTGGTTGATACTATTGGCCAAGTAGAATTTTTGTAGCACAATGTGGTCTTCTTTCTGAAGTATATTGCTTGGTCTGGAGGGGGTCACCCAACCTCAAATTGCTACGGATTACGTCTCCATGGTAGAGCGAGAGGCCACCAAGAGTCGATCTCTTTGGGGCCAATCTGACAGTATCTTTCTCACTGACTCTCTTGGATAAAGGACAGTGTTGTCGGTCTATATTGATAAGGTTTTTGAAGATTCTTGATTTACTTTGTAAAAAATTAAATTATTTTTCAACTAACAATAAGTAGGTAATTTCAACTTCATAGGTATTAGTCATATATGAGATACAGTCATTAATAAATCATTCAGCGAGCCTGCGTAAACAGGACACTTTTAATTAAACAATTCATTAACAAGAATAAAACTGGCCAATAAACATGATCTAGATCAAATCATCTCCTTGCACAACCGTAGACCAAGAATCAATAATTCCTTATCAAGTACTGAATCCAAGACCGTAGCCACAAACTTTCCAATTTAGTTGGACCTCCCCAAAAAGACTCGGGATTTTATATTAAGTACAAAAATTATGAATGATAATTAATAGCCACCGACTCTCTAGGGTTAAGGACTGTTTTGTCGGTCTATATTGATGAGGTTTTTGAAGATTTTTGATTTACTTTGTAGAAAATTAAATTATTTTTCGACTAACAATAAGTAGGTAATTTCAACTGCATAGGTATTGTCATATATGAGATACAGTCATTAATAAATCATTCAGCGAGCCTTCATAAATAGAGCATTCTTAATTAAACAATTGATTAACAAGAATAATACTTGCGATTGAACATTATCACGATTAAATCATATCCTTGCACAACCGTAGACCAAGAACAAATAATTCCTGTTTAAGTACTGAATCCAAGACCATAGAAACCATATAATTTCTTTGCAGGAAAGGGGTGACTGATAAATTGAGTAGGTAATTTCAGCTTCATAGGTATTATCACATTTGAGATACAGTCATTAATAACTCATTCAGCGAGCCTCCATAAATAGAGCATTCTTCATTAAACAACTGATTAACAAGAATAATATTTGCGATTGAACATGATCACGATTAAATCATCTCCTTACACAACCGCTTACCAAGAACCAACACTTCTTTATCATTACTGAATCTAAGACATACTTTCTATTTTGGTTGATGGGGAAGGGAAATGGACCCTCAAAAAAAGTCTCAGGATTATATTATATGAAGTAAAAAGATTATGAGTGATGATTAATTCCCACCGACTCTCTAGGGTTAAGGACTGTGTTTTCGGTCTATATTCATGAGGTTTTTGAAGATTTTTGATTTACTTTGTAGAAAATGAAATAATTTTTCAACTAACAATAAGTAGGTAATTTTAACTTCATAGGTATTAGTCATATATGAGATACAATCATTAATAAATCATTCAGCGAGCCTCCGTAAATCGAGCACTCTTAATTAAACAATTGATTAACTAGAATAACACTGGCCACTGAATATAATCTCGATCAAATCATCTCCTTACACAACCGTTGGCCAAGAACCAATACTTCCTTATCAGCAGCGGATCCAGGATTTACTTTTGGGGGGGGCTTCAGCCCGAAATTTTTTTTTTTCATATACATATAACGATAATTAATTTGAAAAAAAAAAGAAAGAGATTAATTACCTATATGAAATGGTGCTTAAGTGGTTCATGAAGTCCTATTAAATATAATTACACGAACAAGAATACTTTAAGAGATAGGTTTTAATATTTTTTTCTGTAAAACATTTTACCGTTTTGGGGGGACTTCAGCCCGAAAGCCCCCCCCTCCCCGTAGATCCGCCTGTATTCCTTATCAATTAATGAATGAAAGACGACAGCCACAGACTTTCCATTTTGGTTGGGGAAAAGGGGAAGGAGGACAATGGACCTCCAAAAAAAGTCTCGAGAGTTTATTTATTTACAAAAATTATGAATGATAATTAACATTATCAAAATAAATAACGAACAGTAGTTTATATATTGTAATACTATATATAAAAATAAATTTATATATTTATTATTTTTTTTTTGTATGAGTATATTTTGAAATATTTTAACATAGCAATTGAATATATTACATATTTTTAATTTTATTTACTAGTTTGATGCAGTGAGATCTCAATTCTCTGAATTCTCCAAGCTTCAAAGTTGCCTCATAAAATGTGATGTAATATGTAATATGTGATTTTTCACGTAAACTTTAAAAGGTTAACGTAAATGAATCATAAAATCCTAGGAAATTTTTCTACATATTTTTAATTTTTTAACATAAACTAAAATTTCAATAATAGGAACACAGAGCGTGGTAAAATATTAGCATACCGACTATTCTAGCCATATAGTCTAGTTTTGTTATTTTCATAATTAGTTTTAGTTTACATATTTTCTTCATTATTGTAGATTAATTGCTATTTATTTCGATTTTATTTTTATTTTTTTTGAAATTTTGGGGAGGGGGGAACGATCGCTTCCCTTCGCTTCCCTGAAGTCTGGGCCAATGCCCTAGACCATACATGGATTGCAATTGTCCACTTGTTTGTTTTTTGTTTACTCCTATCCTTAACCACTTACGATAAACCTAAATTAGTTTTGTCTTTATCTTTAAATAACCGTAAATGGTATCAGAATATATTCCATCTGAACAGGAAATAAGCTCTAGAGGTGCACAAAGTTTTAAAAATACGAGAAAAACGACAAAAAATAAACATTCAGAGCATGAAAAAATGTTTAAATAAAATTTAATCCCATTTCTATCCTATTAGAAAACAACTGTACATTCCAAATTTTAACTACTTTTAGCCAAAGGGTGAAGCTTGAAATTCACATTTGTCTGAACCGTGATTTAGATTTCATAAAACGCACTACAAAATTAACGATGACTTTTAATACCGACCAAAAATCTAGTATTTTAGAAATAAATACGACCAACATAAAACGAATAAAAATAAAATTTATTTTTATAATCAATTTCAAATAGAAGACTACATTCATCGAGTATCAGATTTATGAAATTAATTATTATATCTAGACATGTTACAATTATTATTTATATGGGTGGAACTACCACCTCTAGTGTTGCTCAAAATCAGTCTTGGTCTTGCAAAGTGCAAGACCAAGACCAAGGCCGCCTATCTGTTGCAAGACCAAGACCTGGACTGATAAAAAAAAATTTTTTTTAAATAAAAATTAAGGCAAAATAGTTACTAATACTTGAAAATCTTAGTTATTATACGTAAATAATTAGTATGACCCATATTCTTTTTCTTTCAACTCCTCTAATTTTTCATTCGGGCTTAGTAAGGTTTCTCCTATCTAAAAAATTACAGTAATATCTCTATAGTACTAAGCTAATAAGTAACTGCACGGCTGTTGCGAGACTCTTGCGCAAGACCAAGACCATGACCAAGACTGATTTTGCAAGACCAAGACTCGTCTCGGTCTCGCATTTGGGCAACACTAACTACCTCCTTATTAATTATAAGGATCCTAAGCATCCTACTGCTTAGTTAAGAACACAAATACTTCCTTTTTTTTTTTTTTTTTGGTTTATCAATTTTAATATTGAATGTTTACATTCTATAAGGAGATATCTTGTGCGGTGCGTACATCACACAAGTTTCACTTACCATCCTACTTTGGGTAGAAATATAGTATTTTCATATATAAGAGAATGAAAGTACAACAAAAGGTACACATTATTTATAATAGTTTATTACCATATGTTTTTCCCATCCGTCCAATATATTAAATTTATGCGTTTTTTGTCACTCGTCATTTCCTTCAAGAACTGTTTTAGTTATAATAAATAATTAAGTGCCAAGAATTTGTTTTATTCCTACTATTGATAAAGGAGGCAGCTATGTTTATTTTATTTTTATTTGTTGAAGCACTGTTATAAATACAAATTTTAAATATTTTTTATGTTCGTATCGATACTATAAATATTAAATAATACCAATGTTAGATTTTAAGAAAACCACAAAGACCATTCGGCGAAACTTTGTTATTTGGACTTAAGGGACCTCAAAACGTGTATTTCCGTTGATAACTCTACATGATAGAAGTGAAAACATCAACAAAGCGAGATTAATAATATGAAACATAAATGATAAATAATTTCCAATTACAGAGGGGTTGAAAGGCTGAACAATTCTCTCTCTTACAGTATGCAGGTCCGATTTTTAGTTTCTAAAATATTTCAATCCATATGCAAAAACACTTCAAATAGTTGACTCCATCCGACTTTACACGAGCGTTACACATCGGAGATCTGACGGCTCTTCTAATTCACTCTCCACAAAAAAGTGCAAAACGCGCCTAAAGCAGCTTTCACTTCCAAAACAAAATAATATATAATATATATAATTCTATAATATTTTAAAAGATTTTCTCAATTAATTATGCATGTTTCTAATTATGTAAGAAAACTTTACATTTAAACTACGACACGAAACAAGATTACGTAGACAGGAAGGAGTTGCATGACGCAGGTAGTGCCATAAAAAAGTTTTAGAGATACGTTTTAATGAGGTTATGACTTTTTGAAAGAAATCATATATTTCTGTGATTTAATTTAAAGGAACTTTTAAGGCTGGGAACAAGGGAGAAAATATGGAACAGACCCGAAAAGTATAATTGTATTTGACACAATGTATCCAATTCTACTTTCATTTACACAGTTTTTAAGATAAGGAGAGCAAATAAATTTCTTGAGGCTGAAAATGCGACGTCGTCGTGCTTAGAAGGAGGATGGGGATGGGGAATGAACACCATTGAATCACCCCATGTCACAAACAAATACAGTAACCTACTGGTGGCTTATTTTTGAAAAAAAAAAAGTTAATTGGGAGGACACCATAGAAAAACATAAAACGCTAAATTTCCGATTGAGACCATTATATTTCATACTATATAGACGTTCTAAATTACCCCTAAGACAAAAACATAGCGTTTATATTCACTAAACATAGACATATACTTGCCAAATTTATAGACCTGATAACAGACATACGTAAAGACAATAAAAACGTACCACTTTACTTTTCGAACGAGACCCTTTACAACGACTTATGCGTTTTGACTGCGAAAAATTTTAGACATTTTAACTAAAAACGGTTTCACGAAAAATTAAATGTATGTATCAACAAGTATGTTTTTGTTAATTTTGATCTTATTAACTCAATTTTAATTTCAGTAATAAGTTTGTCTCAAAAAGTGAGTATATCTTTTTTTTAATTTTCCCCTACTTATGGTCATTTTTTCACGTTTATTTGTATTTGTTGGCTTATATTTGTTCTCTACGGTTATTTTATGGGGGAAATTTCCCATTTTTTCCCTCTAGTAGATCTTCCACTGTCTTCTAGAAGACGTTACACTTTACTCACCAACTAGCAGTTGACGGAGATCCATCCTGGACACTGTCTTCTATCTGCCGAAGAACACTCTTATAAGGATTTATCTTCCCAAGGACGACTTGGCGGTGGTAGGGGGTTTCGATGATGCGCTGAGGTTAATCAAGAAGTTCCCATCTCCACCTTGAACTTCACTGAACTTCATCGACTTCTGATAACATTGCGTATTAATTGAGAACGCTGATACGCATACTCTTGTTCCCGTATCATAGGAAGGCTTGCGATCGGGTACATAGGCGCACAATTAGAAGACCGTCACCCTTTCAATAATAAAAGAGAGAGGCGATATAATAAGTCGATGTACAATAATTTTTAAAAACTGCATGAATTAATTGAGAACGTAGACTAGAATTAATTAAGAAAATAGGAAAAATCGAGTTGGTTAGCAAGTCTAAGACCCATAAATAAATACTGTTATTTAAAGTTTGATTTTCATTAAACAAAATAATAGTAACAAAGAAATGATATATAGCAAAATTATAAATGATCAAAGTATTGTTTATGAGAGATTTTGGAAATTTCTTGTTTTCACATTTTTTTTATATCTTAAATAATTTTGTGACTTTTTTTTTTTTTGTATTACAGACGTTGTAGAACTTTTGCCGCCTTAACTTGCCTTTCGTTTATCTTAGGCTATTTCTTTCCAGTTATCTGCATGCAGCTTTATAACCTCTTTGTCGATTCGATCTATCGACTCCGTGATTGTTGTGATGAAATTAAATTACGATTTTTATTGATATTTTTTTCATTTAAAAAAATAATCAATTTTATTCATACTCCATAAGTAATCTATACATTAAATTGTATTACTGATTATTTGTTTATTGATAAATATTACAATCTGTCTCAATAAAGGACATTTATAATAGAGTTCTGAGAGCACATTCACAAATTAAAAAAAAATTAAAACATAAGCTAACTTCAAATAATATAAAGCTACAAAAGAACAAAATAAAATATCATAGTGAAGGAAGAAAATATAAATAATAGAATGAAAATAAATGAATAAAATAGAATTAAAATTATCTTATAAAAAAATAAAATAAAATTAAAAAAAGTAATGAAAATAAACATCTTAGATGCAGGCATACTATTTACACTATTTAAAGTCGGCCATGGGAACTCCGAACCATACTTATCCCCCACATGTGGAGGGAAAGCAAGGCATCAGGAGATCCCTGCGCTTCTTCCTCAACCATTTCACTGGTATTAAAAGCCAGCGGAGACTGAGTAAGGTATACATTAAATTTAAAAATCTTTAAAAAAAAAATTGTTTTTAAATACTATTGATTTGTAAAATATTCAACTAATTCGATAATATATTTTGAAATAGGATATCCACACGAAGTAAAATTACCATTTTCACTATTATTATACCACTATTTTTTTTTAAATGAGGGTTACAATTATATTAATTATTTATTTTTTAACGTTTCGTCAGTTTATTGAAAAATTTGGTGGTTTGGCCGAGTGGCTAACGCGTTGCTATGCAACCTGATAACTGATAGGCCAAAAGTTGTCACACAAATTATAAGTGGATAATGTTGGGATTTCACAAATGGAAACTCCAAATTATTCACTAATTTATTTTATAAAAGATTGCTACCCAATTATTTAAATATAATACCATACCTAGAGTTATTAAACTACAGTAAATGGATTTAAGGTTATAAACATATCTATGAAATATTTTTATATTTCACTTCTTCTTTCACACAAGAACAATTAAATAGCATTTTAAACAATGGGCATTGGTATGATTCGATTGATTTTAAATACATTTTTTTCAAACTTGGAAAAAAATTGTTAGTAAAAAAAAATTCATTTTATTTCATTGGAAACATGTGATTTACGTTAAATAATGTTAGTTTTCTGAAATTATTATCTATATTTTTTTCGTCACTTTCCGTTACCTTCTACAACTTTATTTATTTGATATTATTTTTTCTAAAATTCCCCGCTTTCCAACGACATATTATACGTACACCTTCTGCCTGTTATTTTCTGAGATTCATTTTCAATCTGAATAAGCACTTTTCTCCATTTTTCCAGTTTATCATATTCTTTCAAAATTCATATTTAGCCATTTTTTATAGTTACTGTCAATAAAAGAGAGTTAATTTTTTTAAATAAATCATATTAAAGGTACTTTAGAGGAAGATCTAAGAGAACATTGGGCATTTGACCCCTGTAAAGTGACATCAATGGGAATACGACCTAATTGATATAAAATACCACTTAATTATACAACGATATTTCGAGTTTATTCAAAATCGTTAGAGCCGTTTTTGAGAAAATTGCAAAAATGTTTATTGCCGTTGATATAAAGTGTCACTTCCGGATAGCTAATTTTAAGGAAAACGTCGGAACTATATAAAAACCTTAAATAAGCAATTTAAGTCTCGTTAAACTTAGTCATTTTTCAGCTAGGCTGTTCACAAACACACATACACACATACCATTTTTCGGGATTTGGTTATTAGACTCATGGTCAGGATGTTTTACTTTTAAAGCAACGAATTTAGTTTTTTCGTAAAATTTTGACAAACTGCAAGGCTTAGTAACTGGATGGTCCTTTATCAATTTCATATCCTTATTACGTTTACGCACGCGAAAATGTATTTGCTCAGACACGACTATAAATCGAATGAGCCATTTTGGTTCTAGAGGCATGTCTCTGGATTCGGAAGGAAGAAAGGTATCCCAGTACCTAAGCCCTCCTCCCCTGATTGCTCCTACGACTTTCTTACGAAGGTAAAGCAGATAAACAACAATGAATTCTAAGAAAGTAATAACCGGGATTAAGGAAGGCTTCCCTTATCAGACACTGATAAGACACGTAACCTTACAAACTATAGAGAATGCCTTGTGGGAATGATCTGTCGAGTAGATTTAACGTTATTTATTAGTAAGTAGTTTTAACAAGGACGAGAAGGTGTAGCATGTTGAAGTGACACTTCGTCATTCATACAACTAATTAACTTTGACTATTTAATGAGGCACTAAAAACCCAGAAACATTCATTGCTAATCGAATCGTAAAATAATTTGATCACAAAGTCGAGAAAAAAGGTGGGGTACGAAATTATTGAGCCACTTACCGTGATCTCAAACCCAAACATATCAAAATAACCAGGTTATATAGGCCAGAGGTTCAATATTTTTGTAGGCCACATTTTTCTAAACTTTGTTGTCAAAGTATCTTACAATTCAAGCGGAAAGAAAATGGACATTCATGAATTTTCAGTACCTCATTCAATTAATTAATTTAACAATTAAACGCCACACTGTAGAAATAGTCCGAGGTGCAGATCCCTTTTTATCAAATTATTAACATCCGCCTAAAATTTCGTAAATAGTTTCATCTCATCGTAACCTACAAATATTTTATTTACGGAAATTCTCGGAATTAGGGTGATTTCAATCTGGAGATCGGCAAACTTTGTCTATTTAATTAGGTATTCAAAATTCAGTTCTTCGAAGCTAAACCAACTTGAAGACGTCCCCGGGGCAGACCTAGGCTAACGTGGACGGACAACATCTGCAATCTGGGACAGCAAAGGAGAAGCGGACTGAATGTCATGAAGGCGCTGGCCAGAGACAGAGATGCGTGGCTGGCATGGACTGAGGTACCTCCACGCTGAAAGGAACAAGGAGGAAGAAGACTAAAAATTCATGAATACACATTTGCTTTCTACTGAACAATAATAAGAAAAATAAAAAAAAATCGCTTAGAAAAATGTTGGGCCGTTTGGCCTGTATAATCTCGTTATTTTGACATTTTGTGGGTGGAGGCCACACCAATTAGACCAATATTTTTGTAGGCCACCTTTTATTTCGACTTTTTTATCATATTATCTTATGATTCATGCGTAAAGCAAGCGGGTATTCATGAATTGTTAGTACCTAATTAAATAGACGAAGTTTGCCGATATCCTGATTGAAAACGCCCCAATTCCGATTATTTTTGTAAATAAAATATTTGTAGGTTACAATGAGTTGAAGCTATTTACGAAGCTTTAGTCGGGTGTAAATATTTTTTTTTTTTAACTTGTTTATTGAAAATATTACAATCTGTCTTAAAGGAGATTTATAATAGTGTTCTGAGATCACATTCATACTCTATGTGCAATCAAAACGAAGTTGATAATATGATAAAAAAAAAAAAAGGGGCCTAAACCACGGGCTATAAATTTTTATGTTCTTTAGATAAATATAGTACAAACAATAGATGAACCATAATTCTTACCGATTCAAAGTTATTGACAACTGTATGAAAAAAGTTCCCAAAAGACAATTTTAGAATGCCTACCATGGTTGTTTCTAAAGTGCTCTTGAGATCAGTGTGTTTCATACCTTCCTACTAACAGATTTGCTAAGAGTAAGTTGAACATTTATCTTATGTTATCTTTATAGTTAAATAAAGATTTTAAAATTTTTTTGAGATATGTCCATTAATGGTACGGACCCCCTGTCCATTACTGGATCAATTGAATTTCGGGGTGTCCATCAACAGTGCAAAAAGGTGTTTTTATTAAATGGTGATTATACCTGTCTAACTGAATTTTAAAGTGTTAATTAGAGAAAGGAGACGATAAAGATTCTAAATGTCTAACGGAGAAGTTTATAAATATAAAAATGACGGCGGCATAAGCCAATTCCTCGTGCGCTTACCCTATTTATCAAAAGTTTATTTTGATTTTTATTATGCTAGCCTTTGAGGCATACACTTAAGTGTGAATAGACATTAAAATATAAAGGTCAAAATTTAAAAACTGTGGTAAAACATATTAATTAAAATAATTAAAGCATTAACACACAATAAAATAATGTGCATATTTATTATGAAATATAAGTTATTTTAAAATATCCGCTAGTAAAAACCGTAGCATTTATTAATAACTTATTGAATATTCAAAAGTTTTTAAATCTACACTAATTTATGAAGGTGAAGGCACACTGATTTCAGTCCTATAAAACTACCAGCTTAATTTGAAAAGTTATTTTTTGAGAAAAGAGATAGGTTTTTGAACATCACGCAACGAAAAATAGTACCTTCAACTATAAACGTCAATAAATCTGGAAAATGTTAGACAGTAAATAATAATCAAAAGTATGTACAATAAATAAAATAAAATAACTTAAAAATTATAAAATTAAAACAAAACAAAAAACACGTGTATACCTTTATACACTATTTACAATCAGGCGAGGGAACTCCAGGAGAACCC